AAAACGCTAAACTTACTTTTTCTCTGCAGAAGTTCCTTGCATGCTGAACTAGCAACATCTTCCGCAGTCTTTCCCTCAATGTTTTTCAAGCTAATATTTGCGCCATTATCTAATAACATTTGAACGATCTTTGTTTGTCCATCCATTGAAGCAATGTGGAGAGCGCTTTCTTGATTAACACCATCTTGTAAATCGGGACGAGCGCCTCGACGAAGGAAAGCCAAAATTATCGACGAGTTTCCTGTTGAAACAGCTTCATGAAAAGCTGTCCATCCATTCTTGTCGGCTTGGTTTGGATCGTAGCCTTCTGATAAAGCTTGTCGGACAATTCCCACATCCTTCGCTCGCACGCCAGCAAGAAGTTTGTCGCCGCTTTCTTCCGTTCTGATGGTCATTTTAGAGAAGTTTTTGTGAGGAAGTCAGAAAAGGAGTGATTCCTACACACAACATGGGGCTAAATTGTAATTTAGGCGAAGTTAAAACCAAGACAAACTCGGTAGCCAGCGGTTTCATCGATACCCCTATGGCGCATGCGCCTGCTTGCCTCGTGCTTCTCTTAGCATTTATGCAAGCTTTACGCGGCTGATATAAAGTTATCATCGTTTGTTTCAAATAACTATTTACGCTATCAACCAGAAAAGAAATGTCTCAAGCCGTTCAACTGTCCACCGAGGTGATTCAGGCAATTCAAGCCGCCGTGCAGACAGCAATGGCGACGCAGAATGTACAACCCTCATCTTCGACTGCTGTTAGTACCGAGAACACCACCCCGCCTTCGACCACTAATGCACCATTAGCAGCTACAACAACAGCGGCTGCTTCTACAGCACCTCCAGGTAGGTCGGTGCCTTCCTTTCTTTCCACTTTCACTCTTTCTGCCAATCCAACGCCATCCGCCTCCCTGGCCGCTACGCCGCCGATTTCGTCCCTTCTTTCTTCGACACTCGCACAAGCCTCTACTCAACCGCCTTTGGCACCCGTCTTGCACCAGCCTTTCGTCGTGGGTCCTGGCTATTCGCCGATCCCGGCAAAATTGGTGACTCAGATTGTCACCGGGAAATTTGTAGATCTAAGCGATCTCTTACCCGACAACCTAACGCCAGCGCAGGCGAAGGAAAGCGAGCCCCAACTCATGCTGGATGGMCGCCTYGTTCTTACTTCGAGGCCAAGAAAAAGGAAAGCCCTCATCGAAGACATCCTCAGTTGGGTCGAGGCCTTTTCAATATTCACTTTGGTCCTGACCCAGTATTTCCCGGCGAGATGGAGGGACGTAACGCGCTACAAGCTGCTAATCTTGCGCACTTATCGCATGTTTGGTGGACGAGCTTCGCTTGCCTACGATCAAGCGTTCCGCGAGCATGCCGCCGCAGTTGGCAATGTCGATTGGTCGGAGCTAAACGTGCAGTTGTATAATTTTCATACAGCTGGCGTGTCCCCACGCCAACCTAGCTCCTCCACTATTTGCATCTCATGGAACAAGGGACACTGCTCGTCGCCKTACACGCCATGTCGGTACGCGCACAAGTGTAGCACTTGCTCCGGGAACCATCGTTCAGTGGACTGTCGCAAGGGGCGACCCGACAGCAACGACCGTGAGCGATCGCAGGATTCTTCTCGTCCCAAGTATGCAAAAAAATGAGCGGACTATATTCAGTTTGTAATTCATTGCAATGTTTGTTATTGTAACTTGAACTACATTGTAGGCTTGGAAACGATATATCAGTAGCCAGTCTTATCGTATTTTCAGCCTGTTTTATTATTCCTATTATTACTGCGAACTTGATTTATGCGTAGATTCTCTCGATCGTTATTGATCTTTTTTTTTTAAACTTTGATCGTCGTTAGTTTGCGGTAATTCATCTATACTCGAACACAATTGTGACCTTTGAAAGTCATTGTAGCTAGACATGTTTTTTATCGTACGCTTGTCATCACCTCCGCGCTGTCTCCGGGGGCGTCTAATTGTCACGTACTCTCTTATCCTAATACGAGTTTGTAGCACGTTGTGAATAAATACACTAGTTCACGGTCTCCTGGTATATTTATGGCACCAACCTCGAGATATTTTTATAACAACACGTTTTCAACGTCCCTTGGTGCACAGCAGGTTCGCGTATTTCGCAACGAGCGTGGCATGTGATATTATTAGTTGGTATGGCCTTTCGGCTTATCGCATTATCGTGGTTTTTGCTTTGACGGTTTTGTATTCCATTATCGCTCCGCAACGACAAAAGGCTTGTCGTATAATCATTAGTTTTGCTATGACGCCTGCGCGTCGTATTATCGATCCCGCTACGGCAAATGGCTTGTCGTATAATCATCAGTTTTGCTATGACGCCTGCGCGTCGTATTATCGTTCCCGCTACGGCAAATGGCT